AACTCACTGGTTTCTTCTTCCCATTTCTTGCCGCCTATGCCAACGGATACTTTTGGAAGATATTGATGGTCTTTCATTAGTATCTTATACATGCGGTTTCGCGACCATTTTACCTTCATCAACAAGAATCTGTTTTTATCGTACATCTTAAGGAATGAGTTGACTAACTCTACTCTACTACCTTCTTCTGTCATTTGACCAATGCTAACAATATTCATCTTCAAACTCGAGATATAATATGTAAGCTAATAAATTTGATTTAGTAGAATAAGTTACTAAGTAACTTTAAGAGGATTATTAGTAGACATCGTAAACTAACTTATGAAGCACATACAAGAGAATTAGTAATAGTTGTCAAGCTTTTGACTAAGTTTTGAGCTTGTGAACAAGTTTTATGCTTCAATTAGAAAGATCTTTGTAGTTAGTGGACCAAGTTTTCAAAGATTTCTCTTCGGAAACCCAAGGACTCAATCGTATGGATATGTAAAATACAGGATTTCCAATCCTAGCAGGAAAGGGAGGGAAACGGATACTCAATTTAAAGTGAGTAAACAGAATTCCATACTTGATCTCATAGATACATATAGAATTCTGTGGAAAGTCGTATTCGATGAAAGTCGTATTCGATGAAAGTCGTATTCGATGAAAGTCGTATGTACGGCTTGGAGGGAGATCTTTCATATCTTTCGAGATCCACCCTACAATATGGGGTCAAAAAGTCAAAATAAATGAAAAACTGATTCTTGAACCCCTTTCACGCTCATGTCACGTCGAGGTACTGCAGAAGAAAAAATTGCAAAATCTAATCCAATTTATCATAATCGATTAGTTAACATGTTGGTTAACCGTATTCTGAAACACGGAAAAAAATCATTGGCTTATCAAATTATCTATCGAGCCATGAAAAAGATTCAACAAAAGACCGAAACAAATCCACTATCTGTTTTACGTCAAGCAATATGTGGAGTAACTCCCGATATAGCAGTAGTAAATACTCATGAAATGTATGCTCTTTGCTCTTTTCACAACTACAACCATGAGAATTAAAAAGCTAAGTACTTTAGATTTCTCTCCTCGAGTGCTTAAGAATATCTAACCAATCTATCCTTTTTTTTTAATTTTGTATTTATGAACGAATTTATCATAGTTAACATTTGAAAAAAAAAACTAAAAACATATTTCAATACTAAATATCCTTAAACTTTTAAAAATGTTCAAAAATACTATTACCGTTAGTTTGTTTCAAAAATAGTTTTGAACTTTTAAAAGGGGTTTCAAAAAAAGTCAAACTTATCGCTAGTTTGACTTTGATTGAAATTCTGCAAGACTAAACCTTTTAGCAGCAGTTTGGGAGGCAATACCACTTGAGAAATTACTGAAATTGATAGCATTGTACCTTAATGGCCTCTTTCAAATCCAATGCGAGTTCTACCAGAGCCGCCACCCTCATAGCCATCTCGCATTGATGAACCTGCACCAGCTCTCATTGTCCCACCAGCGCCAACTTTATCCATACCTTTCTTACCTTTCTTCACTTCAGTCAAGAACTGATCGAGTCCGAATGGATCGGCTTCTTCAACCTCTCTATCAAACTCAACCGGCCTATCTCTAGGTCCAGACCTTTCTGCCGTGCCCGAAAACTGCTTGTCTGGTTTGAAGCGATCGGTCTTCGTTATCTTGTCTAACTGTTCATCAGCACCTCCATACATATCAGAATCAGCGTCCTTTTTAGGTCGGTAAAGGGTTGAAAGAGTAGGCTGAGCGGTAAATAGGCCCTTGTCGTATATGTTGTATTGATCGTCATTGGAAAATCCGGAGTCCATTCCTTTATCTTGGTTAAATAGCCTCTGGTCATACATAACCTCCCCTTCTCGACCTGCTCCGGTCGAAGCCATACCAAGTGCAACCTTCTCGCTGATATCACGATCTCGGTCTCGTGTAATCTTACTCTTCTTTCCCATTGCTGCGTCTTTAGCCTCCAACCTTCTTTCCCTCTCCCTCTCCCGACGTCGCTCCTCACGAATCTTCTCCCGCTGCAACCTCTCTTCCCTTTCCTCCCTTGTTTCCTTTGGTAAATCCTTCTCGTTTTCTCTGACACGTTCAAAGTCCCCCTTCATCTCAAAAGTATCTACTGCGTCCCTCTCAGATGAATAATGAACAGAAGGAGGTGCAGCTCCGGTTCTCTCAGACCGAGCTTTCTGAGCCAATGCTCGAAGCTCCAACTCCTTCTTCTCCTTTTGCTTCATTAGCATTTCTTTCTGAACCTTAGATCTCATAGCAACTGCTTCTCTAGCTTTCTGTTCAGCAACATACAGTGCTTCTGATAGCTTTGCAAAGTTATCGTTGATTTGAACTTCTTGAAGGCCTCTCCCATCAGCTGCAAGGCGCTTGTCAAGTGGAATTGTATACCCTTTTGGATTCTTCCAATTTGAAATACAAGGTGGAATCTTCCAATCCTGCTGATCCTTCACGGTGACCGGACGTGGAGGAGAATGCATAACAGGCACCGGAGGAGACCCCGAAGCTTTAGGAACACGTTTGTGCTTGAACTTTGGAGGCTCAATCGGATCTACAGGCATCTCCACCATTCTGATTATTCTCTCCTTGGCGCCCGAATTAAACGCAGCTGATTGCTGAGACGGCTTATACTTGATAAACTTCGAATCCATTGATTGTTTGGTTACATTCTTAGGCTGTGCTGCACTCAATCTTACATTAACTATCTTCTCAAGTGCAGATTTCGTTTCCTCAGTTGTTTCTTCAATCTCTTTCTGCAACTCATCATCTTCATCACTCACTTCATCATTTTTCAAAATCTTCGGAATAAGATCTTTATGTTGCGAATACACAGTCTTTCTAGAATTCTCATTCTGCTTGACAATAGCATCATATGCAACATTTCCGTGTGCATCAACCGTAACAGGAAGGATCTTCGATCCGGGCTTCGACGATCTATCTCTACCCATATCAAGTGGGTATTGAGCAATGTGGATCTCTGGAAAAGCACCACCATCTCCAAAATCCTCAACTCTCCTTGGAACAAATCCCCCACGCTTCATGTAAGGCAGCACCAGATTCGCCTTGACAACAGAAGCTTGCTCTGTTTCTAAGGAACTAAACCGCTGCTTGAACCATGGATCATTTGAATGATCATAGTGTGTTACAATGGTTGACTTAACAGCAGGAAGAAGGTCTTTCAGAGTTGCCATGACTTTTAACTACCTAAAAGAACTAGAAAGACAGTAAAAAACTAATTGGTCTAAGAAATATGAAATGTTATCTCTAGTGTTTAAGAAAGGCAACAAACATCTTGATCCAAATTAGCACCAACCCATAGTTTCAATGCCATAATTTAACATCTCTCACAAACACAGTGGTAGTAATAACGACTCTCTACCGTGGTATGATATTGTCCACTTTGAGCATAAGCTCTCATCGCTTTACTTTGGACTTATAAACTCATGATCATTCTCTATATTAGCTAACGTCGGACTCCATCCAACAATCCTCAACGCAAGGGGACTTTAAATTAAAGAAAACCCTAAATTCACCTAAGTACAAACAAAACCAAAAATGAAGAATCTGAAAACATCCCAGAAGAACAAATCACAACCCATAAACGAAAACGAAAGAAATCAAACAAAAGAAAAACGGTGCAGCTAGATTAAAAAAAACAACCCAAATTATTCATATCCAACAAGTTTAAGAGAGAGAGAGAGATGATACCCTAGAAATCGCAGAAGAAGTGAACCGAAAATCAAAGAAACAGTGATTCGAGTAGGTGAGAGACTATCAGAAAAGGATGGGTTAACAGTGATTCTGAGACAGCAAAATCGAGAGAAGGCGAAACTGGAGTTTGAAGCTAATGGAGAAGTTGTGAAGAGGGAGAAAGTGAAGGGGAAGCTTCAAATAGGGTTAAGGACAGATCGGAGAGAAGGAAAGACGGCATGGAGGAGTTTGGATTTGCAGAGATGGAGCGACGACGACAGTGTTCGAACGAGAATCAGGCGGTCTTAGAAAAAAAGGGGGGAACGAACGATATCGGGTCACACAGTCGGGTCGGGTCGGTTTTTTTTTTAAATCAATAATTTAATTATCAAATTTGTTTGAACACATTGTTTTTGGGGCTAGTTTGATAATGATTTTGACTTTACATTTTATTTAAAAAAAAAATTGTTTAAAAAATTGGCCTTGTTTTTTTTTTTTTTTTTTATAATTTTTTTTAAGGCTAAACTTTGTTAAAAACATCCTTCAATTTTTTTTTTATAGAAACTGTTAAAATAACTTAAAAAAGTTGCACACCCACATCCTCATCCTACAAAAACTTGTCAAAGAATCATGCTTCTAAACATCGTGCACCATTTTTATCATGTCAATTCAAAACCATTTACAATAACGCCCAAAGTTCAAGGTTTTGGATCCAAATTCGACACTTGACATTTTCTTGCATTCTTGTGACACTGTCACGATTCTTCTTATTTCTAAGAGCGAAAACTATTCACACATACTAATAGGAATTTTTTCCATATGTTTTATCTGAGAAATTTTTTTAAGAAGTTACCGAGCATAGAATTACTCCAAACAAAATACACTTTAACTTTAAAATTCTTGTAATTGAGCTAAAAAGAAGGTGGATCTTGTTAGTATAAGTAATAACTTTTCCTTCTTTAAATTTTTCTTAGTCTTATCCTCAAGATCACTCTAATTCAAATGCAGATGGCAGCCATCAGTTAAGAACATGAATTATTCCATTTCAACCACTAAGGAACGTCATAGAGACTCTAGGGTTTAGCTCATTTTAAAGAACAAGAATGAAACTGAATTTCTTAACTATTATCTCGGATAAGGTATGTGTACCATTTCAACGAAGAACTCGGAAGTTCGAATTCTCCAACGTGTTGAACTAAAAACTAAATACTTTTAATCTTTAAACTTTAGAGGACCTGAAGTGACTAATAAAAAGAACCTACTCATAAACAAATACATTGACACAGAACAAGAAGGGAAAAAGAAGAAACGTAAGACAAATCTACCCAGCTAAATCAGTTTCAATATGCATGAGGGTAAAAACGTTTTTTCAACTACTTTAGGCTGACTTTACAAGAACTACATTCCAACATGATTCATTCATCCTCTTAACAGACAAGAATTAATACGATGCGTGTCAAATCCGAGTGGATATGAATCTGCAGATCAGTCAATTTAGAGCCTGAAGGTACTGTACCCTCCTAACCCAGATGACACATAACCACCATATGATTGTGATGATAAAGAGGATGAAGTGTAGGATGAACCTGAAGCACCCAACTGGGAGTATGATGACCTCAAGCCTGCGGTGTCTAGCCTGCCATAGCTGCTGGTTGTTACTGGTTCCTTAGGGCCACTTATTGCTTCCTATAAGTACAATACAAGGAAAACAAAATCATAAATATCAATGTCCAGCAGTTACCATTTGCTTGCTATTTTCCTCGAGAATCCTAGTAATCCATAATAATAACCGGAACTATCCAGTGTAATAAGCATTGGGCTAAAACTTTGGCCAAGGAAAGAGTTGCACAATGAAATATAAGCAACTTTTTGCATGACATGAGAAACAGAGTATCGCAGCGCAACGCTATGGACCATAACAAGTGAAACCACGAAGTTAATAGTCAAAGGGGAAAGTTAAATATTACCTGAATTAATTGTTGAGCCATCTGAACTTGTGACGAAGTGCCTTTTATTTCCACAGTGATTTCATCCGGCAATCCCCTGCTCTCTTGGATGGTTAAGATTGCACCACTATTGCGGCGGATGAATGCAATATTTGCTCCTCCAACCCCAATGATGTCCTCAGCATAAGATAACGGGATCTGCATTGTCTGCGTGACCTGACAGGAACCACAAAGAGGTGACTCAGTCAAAGATGATAAAGACGAACTCGGTAACTACTGTGTGACCCCACTTCCTCCATTCAGCATTATGCTAAATAATACTTGTGTGCAATATGCCAAACATTTTGGACATAGTGTTTCCAAGACACGATGGACATGTAAAGCTAACAAGCTTCCAGCTTGTCTGGACATCAAGACTGGAAAAAGAAAAATGGATATGCAATGATGGTATAGTTTGCAGCCTCACAAGGCCTGAGTCAACATAGACCATTTCCTTCAACCAATAACTACATATACCAACCTGAGTGACAATAGGCACACCGGAGCGACCAACACCTGATGATCGAATTGCAGGAAGCACTCGATCTGGTCCATAGAGAGAAATACCAGAGGATGAAATATGAGAATCAAGATGAGTTTCTCGGTCAATAAACAGAGATTCTCTTTTTGAAGATGGAGGATACTCGTTGGAGATTACACTTCGAGATGCAGAAAGAAGTGAGGACTTGTCAGCCCAGGCATCCGTTTGGCAATCTTGTGAGGCAGGTGTATTGAACTATTAAAAAAAAGTTGAAACAATTCATTGGTAGTCCTAAAATATGGTAAAAGAGGAGGTTGAACATAAGCTAAGAGGAAAAAACTTACACTCTTTTCAAATAGAGGAAGAACGCTATGATCAACTAAAAACTTCCTTAGGTGGCCCACCACTGCCTCTAGAGCCTTGAGAACCTTTAAGGTTTCTCCCTGCAATTCCAGCATTCTCTCATCCGGACCAGCATAGAATGGCATCTCATCTGCAAGCATCGAATGTAGATGAGTAAGGGAACATTCAGAGAGTATTCATAGACGAATGACTATAGTAGGAAATGTATTATTATCTCATAACATTATTATTTTCTTGCAGCTGTCTGATTGAATCTCAAGGCTTGAAGTTAATAGTCATCATACTTGGTTACTTTGATTTATAACAGCATAATTGAGGAAAGAAATAACACTTAATTTATCTAGCTATTGTCATGTACTTTTAGTTTTAGGTCATCTTTACCATGTATCAGCAACAGAAAGATGTTAGTGAATCAGAGATTAAGTAAGCTTCTCTAAGGTTAGCTGACACTAGGATGACATGCCACCTATACCAACAAGTTCGAATGTGGTGACAAGACTACCGTCTACCATTGATCTAAGCATAGCTCAACTAGTTAAGAAAACATTGACACAAATGGTCAAATATTTGAACATCAACATCTACGTATTGTTGAAGACAAGGGTTGTAAGTGACGAAGTGTATGAGGGATTAAATCATTCCAAAGATCAATGTTATGGGGGTGACCGTTACAATATGCAATGAGTAATAAGACAAGTAGCTTGCAGCTAGGGAAAGGCATGTGAGCAACCATGATACTAAGCTGAGCAATGTAGTTCTATTTCCACTTTCCATCACTCCCCCCCCCCCCCCCCCCCCCCC